CTGTTTTGATAGTACTATACACGTTGTACAACGTATCGGCCAAGCAATTCATTACATAATTTCTACACAAGAAATCTGAATGATTCCATGCATCAAGTGCACTCACAACTTGAATATCCGGATTTTCCCCAAACTTTGGAGGATTTTCCGTCAAGAACCTCGCAAGGTTCAACGTAGTAAGATAAAACAACATCTTTTGCTGCCAACGCTTGAAATTCAAGCCATTAAATTTTTCCGGTTTATCAGCATGATTTACCGGGACATTAACAGAAGGAGAAATAGTAATTGTAACAGCAGCACCGGTATTAGCAACGCCAATAGTATTTTGTTCAGCAGCCATCTTTAATCAGAATTTGTTTTAAGATTGTAGGGAACTTTATCGGGAAAATAAAAATAAGATGGCTAAAATAAAAATACCGAGGCCTGTGAGAACACAGTGTCCTTAAAACAGATTCGCCCCGTATGAGCGTCTGTTTCCCAGGATACAACGGAAAAACCGAAACTAATCCAGCGAACTGGAATTATGCCTGGACCAAAACACTTTAAAGACAAATGGGGAATATTGATTTTCTCTTCTTCCTTTCGTGTGTTTTTTTTCCCAATGAAGATCATCTCTTTTTATAGGACAAAGATCTGGTAACTAATGCATTTAATTTAACATTAATAAATTTAAGTTAAACATTGATGCAACATTAATAACATCAAGTTACAAGTTTTGGAAGAAAAGTGTAAGACACGGTTTCAAAAGTTATCAGTTACAACTTTCATTCAAATTTTCCAACAAATTGAACAGGTCGTCGAACCGGTGAAGCTACCGATTTAATAGTTCACTGGTCAGACCAGTGGCCGAATTGATCGAACCGGTTTAATGAATTTATAATCTTTACTTTTATATGTATAATATACAATTATATATATTTTTATCATCAATTTTAAAGTGTATGACATTTCTCTAAATAAGAGTTCAATAATGGATGCAACCGACAGTGTTTAATAGTGTTGTTAATTTTTTTTTTTATATATATATCTAAAATTTTACTATATATTTAAGTTACAAAATAGAGAGAATAGAAACAACTCTATTTTAATTTTTATATCAGATTTTAAGTTTTTTGTTATTGATTAAAGAAAATAAAAAAAAATATGAGCATAACAAATAACAATAAATTGTTTCTTTCTTTTTCAACAAATTGGGAATAGATATAACACAATAGACATCCCAATACAAAAAATAGTATATTTTTTTTAATGAGTACAATTTTACTTTTAAGGCTCAATATTGGCCCAATAAATCAACAAGAGCCTTTCATCTGCGAACATATTTCACATTGAAAATACAAGTAAAAAATGTGTACGTTGATAAAAAAACTCCCGATCTGTTTTTACAAATGATTGAAGAATAATTTTTAGGTGGTGATGGAAGATAACTGGTCTACTCTTTTCCAATCGAGAAGAGATGTATCAATGACTAACAGTTTGACATGTTCATGTAATGCATTTCCAACTTGTCAATTACAATAACTTTAGTGGGATGGTCAAATGGATTAATAAACTTTTATGAAGGGGAAGAAAATTCACTTAGTTACAAAGTCACAAAACAACTTGCTGGTTTGGACCAAATCATCCATAGTTTTGATTCTAAAGCTTTGACGGATATGTTGTGTGTAGTTGGAGCAGTTGCTTTCTCATGTCACTCTCATTTTCTACTTTACAATTTTACACAAAAGGATAGCATCCAAATGTAGAAAGGAAATTCCCTATATTATTTCTTGTGGCGC